GGGTTTGAACCGCCAGCCTTCTGGTTAGCAGTCAAGTGCTATAGCCACTATGCTACCAGAGCTCCTAAACAAGGGCTACTGGTCTAAAATATACTCTTAATACATTAAAAATCATTTCAAAATATGATATTGATCTGACCTAGGGATAAAATGGCACTTTATATTTGAATCCATACATCTTCGGAATTTATCATATCAAAAAGACATTACATCAAATGTATATAACATAGCAAAATTAATCTTAAAAATTGATTTTGAAATAGCTATAAAGTACTGCATGTTCTCAAATGTAAGCATGTAAGCATAAAATAAAAAATGATGCAAACAAACTTCTTTTTCAGATAAGAAGGTATAATATAACAGAGCACTGAGATATTTTTGGTTTTTTGGGTTAATAATTCCAGAGATAGAATACCAGCTTTGTTACTTTCTAGCTGTGTGACTGCAGGCAAGTTATACAGCAGCTAGTGATAAGTGAATGAATGACCAAGCAAATGATTTAAACCTCTCTGCAGCTCAGTTTCTGTACCTATAAAACTGGGATAACTGAATCTCTCTCAGATGGCTGGGCTGTGATGGTTACCACATAAAGCACTAAATACAATGTCTAGTACAGAGTAATCACACAGTAAACATTAGTTACTGTCATCATACTGAGCAAACACAGTCTATCACTGACATAATCATCCAAAGCACTAAAATGTGAATTGTAAAATATGATTTAGAATCAACCCTAGGTTATTATCCTTAAAGGAGAAAAAGGCAAATAAACTTCATGAGGTTTTCATCAACAAACTTTTTCCTAGAGTTCAAGGAAGAACTAGGAAATAGTGATATAGCCAACAAAGTTATGGGAGAATTTGAGAGAGGAACAGATGGGGGCAACTGGTGAAGCATTATGCTTAAAAGCAATTAGTCAAAAAAAGACAATTATTGTTATCTTTGCTCTAGTTGCCAAATGGAAATCACCCTTTAGGTTCTGAAAATTATTAGGCACTACAAAGCTCGATCAAGTTGCTGTCATATGAATGTTTGCTTCTTGTTTTGTTGTTGTGTATTTTATTTGCTAACATGGTGATGAAGAGTATAAGGATGGATGGAGCATCTATCTGCTCCTCTCTGCTAACAATCCTGGGATATCCCCTCCCCAGATACTTCACTCTACTCTGATGTAAAAAGTGAAGGCTCCATCTTTGGCTTACTGCTTTTTATTCAGTCAATTTTATCTCCCATTTAGAAAAGCCCAGTACAAGATAATGTTCATGGGTGCAATCATCTAGTTTCTGGGTCTACTATCAGATAAAACATTTCATTGATGCCCTGAATTATCATATATTTTACTTTCTTTTGTCTTAATGAGAAGGCAAAGAGATTCTGGTAAGTAGACAAAAATAATAGCAAGAATCTTACTCACGGAATAGTTTTCTATCTCCATGAAAATTTTAATAACACATATAACCAACACTCTACTTGCTAAAGTTATACCTTATATGAAACAGAATGAACTCCACACTGTTTATTCAAACAACCTAATTATCTAAGCCCAAGGAATTATCTAAGCCCCATGACTTACCTCTTTCTTCTTTCTTAAACTCAATTTCAACCAATGTTTCAAATTTGCCCTTCCCCTTCTATTTTTTTTTTTTTTTAAGAGACAAGGATCTCTGGATCTGGTACCTAATCCTTAATCTGGTACTTAATCCTCACTTATGAGTTATTCACAGAATATTTTTATTTCCATAATGATATTTGATGCCACAGTTAAGTTCCCAGGCTACCTCTTCAAGGCATCTTTTGGATTAAGGAATGTAAAATAATTTCAATATAAACTGAAACAATATATACTTAAAAATGTCAATCTCTGGGATAAGAGAACATATAACAAATTTTAAACTCAAAAGTGTTTTGAACTGTGAAATCTTTGAATTCCTTTTATTCTCTTTAATCATACTAAACCTGACTGAACTCTCTCACAAAGGCCTTCAACACACTAATTCAGCAGAGGTAGAGTGCAAGATATACCCTAACATAATCTAAGAGGTTTTAAGGTAACTATTACAACTGGGTGACAAGAGCCATGGTATTTGAACAAAGAGGCTGATTCTTCATAAACTCCATTTGCTATCATCAAAAAACAAAACAAAACAAAAAAGCCATTTCTAGGCTACCCTATTAAGTCATCACAGGACCTACCTCCTCACAAACAGTAGAAAAGTGGTTGAGGAACTGTACTGTGTGCACCACAAATTGGTTAAGAAACGCCACCGTTCTTTTCTGTTGAATAGCTGGCACCTGTGTTATGTAAAAACAAACATGATTCGTACAGAATTAAGGTACACCGTGCAATTCCATTGATACATGGGCATAGTAACAGTGCGTCTTGCCGTGTGATATGAGGTTCTTAAAAGTACTGAGAATCGTCATTAATTTGCTTTCCTAAACTGTGAGGTGGGGTGTCCGAAGATGGCAAAAGCTAAAGAGAAGCCTGAGAACTGACTCTGGATTCACAAATTTTGCGAGGTTTGTGGCATCAAACACAAACGCACAAAAATACTCCGGGGCTGAATCAAAGAGGTAGATTAACTGGTCTCACCCAACCGGCCCAAGTCTCCAGCGGATCATCCCGGGCATAGAGACACGTGACCCAGGAAGGGACTGCTTAACTAACACACTGCCATCGAGTCGGACCCGACTTATAGCGACCCCTCCTTGGGTTTCCGAGGCAATATCACTAACTAGGGAAGTAGATTGCCTAAGTTTCCTTCCCAGGAGCGGCTGGTGGGTTTGAACCGCCAGCCTTCTGGTTAGCAGTCAAATGACTTAGGTACTACGCCGCCAGAGCTCCTAAAGGACTGTTGTTGTTGTTGTTGTTGTTGTTATGTGCCGTCGAGTCGGCCCCGACTCATAGCGACCCCTCCTTGGGTTTCCGAGGCAGTATCACTACGGAAGTAGGATTGCCCAACCTTCCTTCCGAGGAGTGGCTGGTGGGTTTGAACCGCCAGCCTTCTGGTTAGCAGTCAAGTGCTTTAGCCACTATGCTACCAGAGCTCCCAAAGGACTGCTAAGGGAGGCAAAATAAACCCTTAATCAGCTGAGAAATCCCTTTTCAAACTGAAAGATGGGGTCTCCCTCTCGAGGCCAGTAGAAGAGGGGCCCGGGGACGGGGACAGGGACAGGATGGGACATGTAGAGGCTGGGTCTCTCAGGAAACCTGTCATCCCTTCCTCGTCCTCCTCCCCGGGCTCAGAAAGTTCAACTACGTCTTTTACAAACCTTGGTCAGGTCTATGCCCGACCCCATGAGAGGAAGCCCATCCTCATCCATCTCCTCATCGGGCGGGGGGACCCAGGGCTCTCTCACAGACCCCTCCCAGACAGGGCCCGCCCAACCCGGTAAGAACATCCAAACTCCGCCCCAAGTCCACGTTTCCGGGAACCTTCCCGCCGGAAGGAAATGCCTCCGCTCGCCAATCACTCGGCGACTCTTCGCGAGCCCGCCCCTGCGCTCGGCATTCTGGGATTTGTAGTTCTAGTTCCGGATTATGACGCCGACCTGGAAGGAGGCTGTGGTTTTGGTGGTAAAATCTTAAAAAGGTAGCTGGAAAAAAAAATCAAGATTTGCATCTTTGGAGGTTAGCCCTGCCTAGGCAAGTCTATTATTCGTTAAGCAAATACAGTTTTTATTTTCTTTTTACTTTGGTAGGCCCTGTGGGGAATGCAAAGATTGAGTCAAGTGGAGCTTGCTGCAAGTGAGCGGCTTATGCTGTGAAGGAAAAGATAAAACCTGTTTCCTCTACATGTCCCATCCTGTTCCTGTCCCCGTCCCCTGTTTATTTCATGTTTATAATATGAATTCCAAATTCCAAAGGATAGCGTGAGGAATACCTTTAAATGTATATCTCTTCATGTGCATAACTACTTGCAGCGAATATTTTTACTTATTATTTTTCAACAAACATCTATTGAACACTTCTCATGTTCTAGGTACTGTACTGATACTACAACCATAAGATAGTGTGACAGTACTAGGCAACGGTATTATTTTTTCTTTTCACTTTGATAAGGTCTATATGAGCCTAAAGGAGCTGGTAGCATAGTGCCTAAGGCACTTGACTGCTAACCAGAAGGCTGGTGGTTCAAACCCACCAGCCACTCCTCGGAAGGAAGGTTGGGCAATCCTACTTCTGTAGTGATACTGCCTCGGAAACCCAAGGAGGGGTCGCTGTGAGTCGTGGCCGACTCGACGGCAAATAACAACAACAACATATGAGCCTAAATTTTTCCATTGACTGTAAATTCCTTGGAGCAAGGATTATCTTCCTTTCTTATGACTCAGTTATTACCAGCTGTTCTGCTTTTCAGTGAAAAACTCATTAACAGTTTTAATACACAGTTTTGAGGGTCTATGCTCAAACTTGGTGCCAGGCACTGAAGAGTGAACCATCCATCCATCTATCCATTATTTAAACAGATACTCCCTACTATGTGCCAAACATTATTATATGAATTGGAGGACAGGAGTGAACAGAACACACAAAAATTGTGCCTTCATGTAGGTGAAAAGATAAAAAGTGGAGAAATAGGTATTAATATGTCCAGGAAGGGAAACAGAAAATATGTAAAGAAAATGATAAAGGTTAAACTAAAATATGCCCCAAGGAGGATCACTTAATCCAGGCTGGCGGAATTAGGGGTGGCTTGCTCAAGGAGTTGACGTATGAGTGGGGTTTTGAAGTCCAAAACTAACAACATGGAGATTAGGGAGGGGCAGTATATGGATGTGCAAAGGCTCTAATGTCTGAGCCCCAGAGATGTACATTCCCCTAAGAGTACCCCTCCCTTGGCTTCCACCTACCTCAACTTTAGTAGGAGTGAAAATGAACACTTAATTCTTTCCAGGGCTCTCCCTGCTCCTGGTGAGCCCTCATCCTTTCCTCCTCCACTATCACCCGGTACTTTGAGACCATCACAATTAGTCCTGGACTCCCAAGTGATCCCTCAGACTTCCAAGCTCATAGAGACTTTTTTTTTCTTTTTACAAAGCAAATCTCATATGGATTTATACATTGCATTTTTTTTGCCCCTCCCCAATTCAGCAAACGCCTCCTCTGCCCTCCAGAACTTTAGTCATTAGCAAAATCCCCGTTTTCTCAACCTCTTCTTTGATCATTCCTCTCTTCCTGCTCTAAATTGACTGTTTCTTGAGGCTACTGCTTGCTCTACAGCTTTGTGGTTGTTTTCTTGCCCACATCCACAAATCATTAGGCTAGGAGGTGTTTTCCTTCCTCCTCACTGCTTCCAGACCACAGCCCTTTCTATTCCTTCCCCTAAAAATACCCTACAACTCTGAGTTCATGCTATCATGTATAGAACGATATCATGTAGCAATCATCTACAGATCATTAGATTACTGTGACTCATCGATTCCTTGAAGTTCCTAGTTTTTATCTCACTGCCACTGTTTCTAACACTACGCCTTTTATATTCTGTGGGATTTAAATATCCACAGGGTTGATCTTTCTGGTACCTTGGTTTCTCAGTTCCTTGAACTCTTCTCCTTTAGTGATCTTGCCTTCTGTTTCTTCACCCACCTTTCCATTGTCATCCCCTAAAACTTGTCAAAGCCAAATAGCTTCACTATCTCCATAATCATAATTTGAGACATCCTATGTCTGGCCACTAATTTCTCTCTTTCCAGTTCATTCTCTTTGTTACTCTGACTTTAACAATTCTTTGAGCCATAGAGAGTCCACTTTTTCCTGGTACCTTAACCTCACATCTTCACTTCCTCTTTTAGCCAGTTTAGATCCTGTGACTCATCATAATGACTCAATAAACTTGTCCCTCCCTCGCTTCAGCATGCTTATCTGGCAAAAACCCAGTAAATGGAATGTTCTGCTTTTTCTGTACCAATAGTATACAACCAATACTGGCTGGCCTCAACCAGTTTCACTTCAAATTCATGTTGTCTTGAGGTTAGATCTTTATATGTTCCCACTGTCACATATGTTTTTACCTATGTCTGAGCCTTTAAACCTTGCTTTTCCTATAATTATGATGGATAATCTCTCCTTACTGTGGGTTTATTTTGGAGATACTGTGAGTTTGGATCCAGACCACCATAATGAAGCAAATATTGCAATAAAGCAAGTCACAAGAATTTTTTGGTTTCCAAGTGCATATAAAAGTTATGTTTATACTGTATCATAGTCTATTAAATGTGCAATAGTATTATGAAAATGTTTGAAATATTGTGAGAATTACCAGAATGTGACACAGATACATGAAGTGAACACATGCTGTTGGAAAAACAGTGCTGATAGGCTCACTTCATGCAGGGTTGCCAAAAACCTTCAATTTGTAAAAAATGCTTTATTTGCAAAGTGCAATAAAGCAAAGTGCAATAAAATGAGATGCACCTGTATATAAAGTTAATTCCGCTATCTGTGTGCAAGATACCATTCCTTCTGACCTATTCAAAAACTTCATTCCAATGATTGTCCCCACTTTCTCTGTCATCAGTGTTTCCCTTTTTATAGGATCATTCAAATACCCTTTCCAGCTAACCTTTTCAGAAAGACTCCTCAAAATATTGTCCACCCTAACTTCCTTCTCCCAATTTCTCTCCTCCTATTCTCTCCTCAACTTTCTCCAGTTAGCCCACTATGCTGTGAGAACAGGTGATCTCAAGGCCATCAGTAACCTTTATAATATTAAATCCTTTGATCATATCTTAGTTCTTACCCAGCTTGGATAAACATTTTACAAAGTTGATCACATTCAACTGCTTGACATTTTTTCATCTGCCTTCCAGGACATCACTCTTCTGGTTTTCCTTTCATTTTGAGTACTCCTCATTTTCCTTTGGCTGATTCCTCCTCATTACCCCAAACTCTACAGTCCTTGCATTTCTAGATCCAGCCAAACTCTCACACTGGAAGCCAGTGTGGCTGAAGCAAAGTACACAAAGAGGGGTGTTGAAGGAGATGAGGTCTGAAAGGTTTCTATGGGCCTCGTTATATAGAGCTTTGTAAGGACTGTAAGGATTGGTTTTTACTCCAGATGAGATCAGAAGTCATAGACAATCTTAAGCTTAGGCATGATGGGAGCTACATAAGAGCTTTAAGCAGGGAAGTGGCATTATCAGAAATGTATTTTAGGACATTCTGTTTGGGACAAGGTAACTGGCATTGATGATGAGTGTGAGTAGGTAAGCTGGGAAAAGTTAAACAGCTACTATAGTCATCCTCCATATTGTCTCCCTTTCAACTCATAGCGCCCCCATGCACAACAGAACGAAACACTGCCCAGTCCCAAGCCAGCCTCATAATCCTTCCTGTACCTGAGCCCATCATTGCAGCCACTGTGTCAATCCATTTCATTGAAGGCATCCCCCTTTTTTCTGACCTTCCACTTTACCAAAAAACCAAACCAAACATAGTGCCATTGAGTCGGCTCCAACCCATAGCGACCCCTCCTTGGGATTCCGAGGCAGTATCACTACGGAAGTAGATTGTCCAACCTTCCTTCCAAGGAGTGGCTGGTGGGTTTGAACCGCCAGCCTTCTGGTTGGCACTCAAATGCCTTAGGCACTATGCTACCAGAGCAAAATC